CGGCTCATTCCACTTGGGCCGGAAGGACTGCACATACTGCAGAACCAGTTTAGGGTTTAGGGTTTACGGTTTCCCTAGAGCGGTGTCATACTCTGCCACATCCCTTGGATTTCAAAACTAAAGAAACGCTACTCAAAGCCAGTGCGGTTGGGGACAACCACATGCAAGGCTACGCAAGGTTTGCGGCTTCTGTGCTCTTCGGCTTTATGGGCTTGTTGTTGTTTCCTAAACCCTAAACCCTAAACCCTAAACCCTAAACCCTAAACCCTAAACCCTAAAGCCGCGGGGGCCGTGCGCGCAGGACTTGATCTGGCGAAACCTTGCAAAGATGCAGCAGCGCTTCGGGAAAGAGCCAGGGGCTATGCACCTCAAGTTCCGGTTAGGGTTTAGGGTTTAGGGTTTAGGGTTTAGGGTTTAGGGTTTAGGGTTTAGGGTTTAGGGTTTAGGGTTTAGGGTTTAGGGTTTAGGGTTTAGGGTGTAGGGTGTAGGGTTTAGGGTTTAGGGTTTGGCTTTTTGAAGGCTCATGTGACGTGTCCCTCTGTATCACGCCTACTTATAGCATGAGGGGTTTGGGGGGGGAGGGGTTGAGGTTCAAGGGCCACTACTCCCCCGAACCGAAGCCTTTGCCCTTTTGTTCTTTTTCCTCGCATGAAACCTCGAAATCTCTGCATCCACAAACCCTAAACCCTAAACCGGCAGTAGCAGTGATCTCAGCTCAGCCCTACGACAAGGCTCAGGAGCAAAGGCTGCTACAAACCATCAACAGGCTTACAGAAGGCCTTGTCGAGCGATAGTTTCTGCTCCCAAGGGTCGGCGAAGAATGTCCATTTCCGGCTTCGGGGTTACAAGACGTACAAGAAGTTGTATCAGCATTTTGTTGCTTAAGGTTTCCGCCCATGTCCTGAGGTTCCTCAGCCCCCTTTGAGGTATGCCATCACTCCGCAGGGCTACATCCTGCCCAAGGCCTGGCAGTTTCTTCGACAGGGAAGCGCTTTCCCAGGGTGCCAGGGAAAAAAGGCTTGGTTGCCACGGGTCGGGCCGTAGGGTTTGGGGTTCAGTCGCATTCCCTAAGCCCGCCCAACCCTAGACTCGCATCCCTGCGGAGCGACTTTGAAGTCAGAAAGCCACCCAGGAAACCCCAACCCAAGCCCCGGAAACCCCAAGGTCCCAAGTCACAGAACCCTAACCGCAGCCCCGTTTTGAGGTGGGTTGCAGAAGAAAAAGAGCTCAAGCCATAGAACGTCGACCAAACCCGTGAAATCCTCTTAAGCCCTGATCCTCAAACTTTCAGTCCTAAGGCCCTCAAGGCTCTATCCCCTGGACCTGCACAGCCCCAAACCCCGATGAATCCCAATCCCGAAGCCCCTAAACCTATGGAATTAGGGAATCAGGACCTCCTTACCCACCATATTAAGACGGTGTACCTACCGGTACATGCAAGTTAAGGGCTCTTTCAGTATTTCAGTAGAGCACAAACCCTAAACCCACAGCCCTGGTCAGGCAAGTGGGTGGCAAAATTTAAGCCCTAGACCCTGAACCCTAAACCCTGAACCCTATGTAAACCCTAAACCCAAACCCTGAACCCTAAACCCTGAAACACTAAACTCTGAACCCCAGAACCCTCTGAACAGTTGCAGCTCCAGGCTTTCCTTGCCTGGGATGCGGCTCGGCTGAGACAGCCAGAGGCGCTGTGGATCTGGAAGCCGTGCAGCCGGGAGACCCAGGAACTCTTGGAACCATAAACCCCAAACCCTAAACCCTGAACCCTAAACCCTCTAAACCCTAACCCTGCGTGGGGCAGAATGTCTGGGCGAGAGCGGTTGGTTTTATGTCTTGGCATCGGCGGTGCATTTAAGGCTGCTTGTTTGGTTCACAAATTTTCTTTTTTGTTCTTGAGCGCGACCACTTTGACGTTGAAGACACTTCATTGCCGGGATGGCTGGCAGCAATGGGAGTTCCTGTGTCCGGAGCCGGTCAGCCATGGGAGTGCGTGGGAGACTTGTAGCACTTCATTGATGGGGCGTCCGTACGCTATGCCTGCGTTATGGAATGGACGGAATGTGGTGGTACATGCATCTGCAATCCCCGAAGGGTGGTTGCGAGTTGTTACATTGTTCCTGGGGGGAGCGAGTGACGCACCGGAGGGCTTCTCGGGGTTGATGGCTCTTTCCGATCCGGCGAATGTGCTGGGCTTGTCTTTTGCATGGATCGCGTCCTCAGATCATGCAGCAGAAACCCTAAACCCTTACCCTTAGTAACCTTAAGTACAATGAGGTTATTGGGCTACCCAGAAACTGGAGCGGGCAGCAGTGAGGTTTGGTTTCGGCTGTCGGACCTTTTAGTTTACGGTTCAAGGTGTGCCCTCAACGTAAGTCCCCAAGTTTAGGCCCACCCCTCACACCTTAATTATTTAGGAATCCCTACTACCTTTTGGAATGGCTTCTACACTTTCTTTGTGGCTGCGTACTAGAGCCCTGGATAACTCAGGTTGTCAAGTCTTGTGTGGCCGGGATAGTCTGAAAGGTGTATGGAGGTTTTGGGGTCGAGGGTCCAAGGTTATTCAGACCCTAAACCCTGAACCCTTTTTATGCCTCGTGTCTTAGGCCCTTGGAGGCGTTGGAGGGTTTGGAGCATTCGGGGGCAAGGTGAGCAGATGCAGCGAAGTCCCGACATACTCGTCTTCACGTTGCTTAAAAGCACTGTCCGCCTTGACCCCCTTCGGACTTCTTTTGCCATGAAGTTCCTAAACTTCCTAAATAAACTTCCTAAACTTCCTAAACATCCTAAACTTCCTAAACCCTAAAATTCCTAAACAAAACCCCAAACTTCCTAGGAACCCTGAACCCGAAGCCTTGAGCCCGGAAGCTCTTGGCGCTTAATCGGCCCTTGGGCCCCTTGAACCCTCACTTCGCCCCTAGGTCAAAGTTGCGGCCGGGGGATCATGGTCTTCAGTTCAGACGTCCCAAAGGACCTGGAAGCTGCCCCCGGTGTTGAGTTCGCATGTAGGGGATGGCATGTAAAAATCTAATCCAAGTAGTACTCTCTCTCTCTCTCTCTATGTCTGTCTATCTATCTACCTATCTCTCTATCTATCTATGTGTGGTAGCTGACATGTATGCATAATATACATATATTTATATATATATATATATACATACATACATACATACATACATACATTTACATGCATACATATATAAGGTGTATCTTGCAAAGGTTCTACAGCGTTCAGGTGGGGAGTTCTGTTGGGAGAGGATTTCGCTGTTGCCGTCCATTTGGAAGTACCTTGCGCAAGTCCTCTTTTGTCTTGGGAAGCAGTGGTTCTCAGATATGTTTTGGGGGATGAAGGGGTTGAGGCAAGAACGACCAAGGAGAAGCGGAGAAGGTAGCCCCTGGAGGCTAGCCGTGAAATCCCCTTGGCCCTATGGTATACGCGCGCCAAGCAGTACAACTTGAGCCTAAAAGCCTTCGCTGTGTAAATCCTTGCTGTGGAACCTCCGAGACTCTGAGCCCTGAGCCGGTTTAGTTTTCACATCACAGCGCAATTCGGCGCGTGAGGATCAGATGCGTGAGATGTCCAAGAAGCCTGCAGCTGACGGGGGTTCAGGGTGGAGCGGTTTAGAGTTCAGGGCACAAGGGAGACATGATCGGGGTTTAGGGCGGAATGTAGGGCTTTGCGGTTTGGGATCTCGAGCTGGGGGCTACCTTCCTTAGGTGAGCTTCCGAATTGTTTCATGTTCCCTTGTAATGTGAGCCCCGCAGAAAGAGGCTTAACTACTTTGGCACCAATCTCCACAGAGCCAGAGATGGGCCTAGGGAGGGTTTTGGGTTCGGCTCTCGGTTTCAGAATCGTCCTCAGCTTCTCTTAACCTGAAGAGGACGGGGAGTTTCGGCCACACAAACATCACCCTCTAGGGCCCTTCCGTGCCAAGGCGTGGTATTATCCAGCGCTATGTTCCGAATCCGCTGCTCATTGGTGGGCGAAAGCACGGGGCCGAGAGATTTCTAACCCCGGTCTGGGCAGTCGTGCGACTAGGGATTAGGCTGTTGGGGTAATCATATGAAACAGGGCTTGTTGTACTCTTATTGGTGAGTTATTCCTCTTTTCTAGGGTCCCTTAAGAATCTTGGTGAGTATATAAATGTAACATATATATATATATACATACATACATACATACATGTATATTGGGTGCTTTTGGAGATAAATACTAGTAATGTAAACCTTACTTCATACACAACGCATGTTTTGTGATTACACGTATATGTATATGTATATATGAATATATACATATGTTATTTTTTTTTTGCTTCGAGTGGTGGCGTGCTCTTGAGGGCTTTCAATTTGGCCTCGTGCAAGTGTAAAGCATGTCGTGGAGGGTTACCAATCTGGACACTTGAAGGCCAAAAGAAATCTACCCTAAACCCCGAGCCCATGAGTTTGCAAGCTTAGGTTTGACATGCGCATCTACGTCGTGGTCCTCTCGCCGCGGACTCAAGATGATGGGCTTTTGAGCCCATGTCTGTTTTAGGGTTTAGGGCTGGGGTGTCGAGCTTGCCAGCAATGTGGGAATCTTACTAAAAGAGCGGCTTTGAGAAAGAAGGCCCATCAACTGAGCTTAAGGCTTCGACTTCAACCGTACACGATTCGGGACCCCTCAAAAACAGGGAGGGGAGGGGGCCCTGTTTCGGCTGGCAAAGTGTGGACCCAGCGGATTTTGCCTTGCGAAAGGGTTACACGGCACACTGGCAGAGTTGCCTTGCAGAAGGCAAGAGGAGTCCGTGAATCCATGTCAATCCTAACCCTAATCCCTCACTTCCTGAAGCGTGGATCCGTTTAGAGGGTCAGAAATACTCCCCATACACGTTTATACAACTACAATAACTACAATGGGAGTATTTAACATTAGGGGGGTTATGAGAGGGGGTTGAATATTAGGGGGAGGGAACTACTGAATGTACTGTCACGTAAGCATTACTTTGATTACTATAGTTCCTGGCATGACTCGCTTCCGCCAGTCACGGTTTCGTTTTTGTTTAGGGGGCTGCTTCGCACATTGGGCATTAACAGCCATTTGCCTGCCGCCTTCAGGTATGACCCCCTGAAAGTTTACGTCAACGATGAGGGCCTTGTTCGGTTTGCGACGGAGCAGTATTCAGAGTCCGTGGATACCCTCCAGTCAAGGATGCGAGCTGCTCTGTGTGAGGCATGCAGCTGCTAGCATGGCTTGTTCCTAATGACTTGAAACTCATGAATCCCACCCATTCTCACCCTCTTGCGATCTTGTGCAGCATTTCGGAACCCGTGTGTCCTTCCGATATGGGCCTCAAAACATGAAACCTTCCTGCCAGAGTTTCTTTGGAGCCAGCAGGATGAAAAAACGGGCCACACACTGCAGCTAACGAAATGGAAACGCAACTTTGATCCTAGCGGGAAACCCCAACAACCTTGGGAAACTGAAAAAGCCCGTGAAACTTTTCGAGTAATTATAGAAGGTGGCTCCATAAAGCGAGCGCAACATAAAACCCTAAACGCTGAACCTTAAACTCTGCCAGTATAGCTTTGCCTGAATCAGCTTGCTAAGGACGAGTGTACTTTTGAAACAGACCATAACATACGATCACCAGGAATATGGCGCTCTTTGTAGGCCCTCGACGTGACACAGTTGGCCCCGAGTTGCAGGGGCTTGGGGGCGAGAATCTCCGAACCAGGCCACCGGAACCCAGGTGCAACTACCCTAGCTGCAGGATGATGCACCTCACCAACTACTCGGTCAACAAACAGCGCGGACCCGAGGGACATGAACATTTCTGAGATCTGGCGTGGGGGTCGGGGAACTGCGCTACTTCAAGGGTCATGGGTTGTAGCCGGTTCCTGTTTGCGTTACCCTGTATTTTCAACGCCCTCTGGCATTTAGCAGCATTTGGCGTATTGTGTCTCAAAGCCCTTGCCCTCCGGCAACATGTACTTGTAGTCTGGATCAGGGTGGCTTAGTGCTAAGTGCTCCAAGCAGGCGAGCTTCAGAAGCTCGCGAAGCGAATGCTGAGTCAGCGACGGATGTGAACATTTTTATCCGATGGGGATACTTTGTGCGTGTTCTTTGGCTCAGTCTTTGCCAGTCATGACGAGTGATGTGTGAACGCTTGCTCAGAGTTTCAGGGACTCCCTGACATACATACCATTGCACATCCCACCTCCATCCATCCTGCCCATGCAAGTGAGCACATTCTTGGAAGTCCTTTGTTTCCTTATTATGTCTTGAATTGACTTCCCAGTCTCCAGCGGGCATGGGAGGGTGTTCTCGATGAGGAACGAGCTTGTGGCTTGTTCTGATCCCGATGCAAAAGAAGAAGTCCAGGATTTGTAGTGTCGCACCCAAACACTAAACCCTAAACCCTATCAACCCTATCAACCCTATAAACCCTATAAACCCCCCTTTAAACCCTATAAACCCTATAAACCCTAAACCCTAACCCAAGCGGCCGAAAAGCTCAAAGATGAAGCCTGAGGAACCCTGCGTTCGTGCAGAACCAGGATGGCCAGGGAGAGGAGGAGCGAGGGTTTTAGGGTTTTAGGGCGTTTGGGGTTTTAGGGCTTTTTGGGTTTAGGGTTTTTAGGATTTTAGGGTTTAGGGCTTTAGGGTTTTGGGGTTTTGGGGTTTTAGGGTTTTAGGGTTTAGGGTTTTAGCGTTGAGGAGACAGGGTTTTCAGAAGGAAACATGGTTTTGTTTAAGTACGGTTTTTGGTGAGTGTATACAGGTTTCCTTATAAATATTGGTGAGTGTGTATATAAAAATGAGATAAAGAAATATGAACATGAACATCTATGGCGGGTTTAGGGTTGGGTTTAAAAAGGGTTTATATAGGGTTTATGGTTTGTAGAAGGTTTAGGGTTTAGGGTTTTGTTGACCAACCCTTTTAGCCGAACCCCTTGTCCCCCTCCCACAAACAGAGAGCCGGCTTTCATCCAACAACCTTGGACAAATATCCCCCGAAGATCAGAGAGAAGATAATTAGAAATTGGACGCGTTTCATTCCGAGCAGCTCGTGCAATAATCCTTCATCCTTCATAGTGCAAATAATCAGACAAAAGCATGGCTTTCAAGGCCCCCTCCCCCCCCCCCCCCCCCGCCCCTCCCCCCCTCCCCCCTCCCCCCCTGCCCCTCCCCCCTCCCCCCCCCCCCTCCCCCCCGTCCCCCCCTCCCCCCCCCCCCCCCCCCTCCCCCTCCTCCCCCCCTCCCCCCCCCTCCCCCCCCCCCCCCTCCCCCCCTCCACCCCCTCCCCCCCTCCCCCCCTCCCCCCCTCCCCCCCTCCCCCCCCCCCCCCCTCCCCCCCTCCCCCCCTCCCCCCCTCGATGGGTTTTAACATCACCCCAGCTCAGCAAGTCGTGTCCCCGATCCAGGGCGGTACCTTGAGGGTTTAGGGTTTCGGGTTTAGGGTTTAGGGTTTGGGCCTGAACATCTGGGCGCAACCTTCCAAAGCTTGCTGCAAAAGGGTTTGG